ACCTAATACCTAGTATTATGCTTAAGCTGGATTTATACAGCTACGTCGTCTATTGAGCCGTGTGCGTATTATCAGGTTTGATTGACTTTTGTAACCATTATGGTATCAATCCATAACCATGATCAGCTACCGGGAAATTTCCTGAGTTGGGGTGAGCTCACACTTTTGATGACGTAGCCATGAACCTGACTTTATTAGTAGAATTTATCTATGTATAATAGCAAATTATATAATACCACGTTAAAAAATCAGAACTTTTTTATGAATATAGGTAGATACTGATACAAAAAACCAGGTAGGTCTCACCAGACAAATCTAAAAATTCTTGTTTTTATAACTATAAAATAAMACGTAATTTTCCTCTATTGTCATACTATAATAACTATCCATTATATAAGCCAAGATCGTGTATGCATTTAATTGAAACCCTCAAAATGAATATCTAACTAGAAAACAATGGTGATCTAGCTTTATGTAGTTGACTCCTTATAAACATATAATAATTCACATACCTCAAGAATACCAAGTATAAGTAATTTACGATTATATTTTATCTTTCGGATTTATCGCAATACCTATGCCCTGGAGTCTAGACTTTTTCATCGACCATTTCCTAATGCAATGGAATCTATACAACATAATATGAGACCAATAGCTTACAAATGTAATATGTAATATAGTCCATGATTACATATTGTTTGCACAGTATATTATAGAGTAGACAATGAAACGTTTTTCGTCCTTTTTATCCTATTACTAGTTACTGGATACAAGTTACCGATCACAAAAGAGTAGAAAATAATGAATGAATCAGCAAACGTTCCAAATAGGTATGTTTAAATTGTTGAATGTACTATGTACGTGATCCCGTCTCTTATTGCATGTATAAATTGCTACAATATTTACACAATAAAATGTAATTTAAAATAATTACATACACCTATGAATACGTGTAATGTATTTAAATACATTAAGTATTAATATACAACAATGTTTTTTCATTAAAGAAAATATCGTAAACTAAATAATAATATATTATAAATTATAATAGTTATTAGTTAACACTATAACCTATAGGTATATAATGCACTGTTGAGAACTTTCTAATAATATAATTAGGATTAAACAGTAAATAAATATCTATATAAAATTTAAAACAAATTGAATTTCAGATATTATTATGTTATAAAATTCGAGATATTTCAAGTAATACTTAATAAAATTGGCGAGGATTACATAAGAACTTAATACGTAATTCACGTAATTCATCTCCATTTTTGTCACACACATGCTGCAGCATTCAAAAGAATAAAAGACCCTACACTAGAACATAACCTCCATACAATGAAGCATATTACACACGAGGGATTCGTTTACATATAGATTAAAGATAAAAACAAATATTTTATAGAATATTAATATTATTATTCCATACCATACTCACTATATTACATTCTCAAATATCTTATATGTTACAACTATTAGACAAACTTAGTTTAAAACAATTCAATTATACAGTTTTATTTCAGCATATAACCATTCGTTAACAAAAATAGATCGGTTTGACTATCCACTAACGCTTAAGTCTTAAGCATAAGCTCTATAAAGATACACTCCATAAACCGATCGTTCACAGTTCAATATCATAATTATTTATAACAATATTCCATCTCTTTAAATTCATCTAGTTAATACCGTGGTATATGTTATAAGTGTTATAACATTTAAGAGAGCGTTACACGTTTGTGAACGAGTGTGTAATTTGTTGTTTTATTATGATTTATGACATCTTTAAAAGATTAGGCTAAGGAATAATAAAGTTGAACTTTACTTTTATAATACATGAAAATTCAAAATTTATAGCTCCCAGTTATTTTATTATTTTTATTACACAAATCATCATTCCTTAACAGTAATTACTCATTTTTTTTTTTACATTTGTTATGTCAATAACTAAATAAGTTACTGTAAATTTTATAAATAAACACTAATAACACGTTATAATAACTGTACAAAACTTATACAGAAATTATAAGACTTAACACTAGTTAAAACAATTGAATATATTTTTATAAGTATTATTGTAGGTATATTAATGTATTCTAAAACTTTTTTATTCGAGCACCTACCCAATATTTTATATATATATAAATATCTTATATATTTTTAATGTAATGATATTTAAAATTCAAAATTTTAAGGTTAAATTATCCTAATTGGATATCTAATCTAATCATGTAAAAATTATTATGTAGATATGTACAATATTATGCAATTACAAACCGTAACAATGCTATTAATAAATCATTTAGTAACTAAAAATTAAAACATAATTATATTCTTTAATACTATATCTGAGATAATCGACCATATTTTCACACATACTCGTAAAAGCTTAGAAAAAAGTTTTTACTATAAAAAGTAGCTATTTGAATTTATTTTATTTTCTATAAAATAGTTCAAACTTATAAGCTAAAATTATAAATTTTACATTTTTGTTGCTATTTATAACTAAACGAATAACTATAAAAGATTAACAACCCTTTGACAACTCATATACATTTGTACCAAAAGTTATGAATGCTAACAATAATGTTAATTCAATTTTTTTTTTTAAACCAACACAAAGTTAAATATTATTTCCGTTTAAAACAAAATTGTGTAAATTTGTTAAAGATTGAATACTAAAGTGTTGAAAGTATGTAAAATTTCAACCTCAGAGTAATATTATTATTTTTATTAGAGAATATTAATTTCAAAATTATTAAGTTATGGTGGAGCTTAAAAATTATTTTTACTTGAATATTTCCGGACAGACTGTTTCYAATAAAGAAGGCTACCTATTTTGTTAAGTATTTAAAGAACTGCGAGCCTATGTAATTATTACTAAGGCGCTTGTTTGCAATGTCGGTTGCGCGTTGAGTTCAAAGGTTAACATTATTGCGTGTGGATTCGACAATGCGAAGAAAGCATAACGTAATATCCAACGCTAAAAAGCAATCACTCATTTATTTCTAGCGTATGGACACAGATAATGGATTACATTAATTGCGCGTTAAGTAAGATTCAGACTGAATAAAGTAAATAATAGTAAATACAGACTATACAATAATGAATTTGACCCATACAGTCAACATAAAGTACAAACAATACAGTAACAGCTCTAACAAATATACGTTTATCAAAGAAATATTTAAGTGACTTAGTGCCTATAATAAATATAGGTTCATATAAACAATGTAAAATGTTTTTAGAAAAAAATAAAAAAGGTAAATTCCCGTTTTTAAAGCGTTTGAGATGGTATATATATTAAAAATAAATATGACAAATACAACGGAGGCAAATTCTATGTAWCGGTTAATGTTGATCACTGTATAACTCGATATTAATTAATTGAACATAAATTCTAGTTTATAAATATAAACATATTATAATTCCATAAATGTTTTAATAATAATTTATAACACTAATAATACTACCAAAATCAAAAATTTATAAAAAGAAAATCAATATTTAAGATTTTAAATGGAATATACTTATATATATTATTATATAGGTAAATCATCATACGAATAAAATGATTTGAGGGTGGCTAAAAATGCACTAACTCACATTACATTAAGTATTTTTTGGCTCAAAAATTTACTAAGAAATAAAAAAATAATAAATCTATAAATCTATTAAATGGTCAAAAATTATTTTTATCGGTCTAAAAATTTGCTACGTGAAACATTTAGTTTTTTTTATTACCAAAAAAAATCCTAAATGACAAACTTGAATCTAAATGTTTCTATAAAAGATTCCACAACCATCTAAGTACTCCTTCGAATCTACTTATCAAATATTTAGCCTGCGCCACAATTCCTAGTAATCTAGTAATTAATCCCTCAAGACGACTAAAACGCAAGTGGTGACGTGATTTGTTATATATAAAAAAATAAATAACAATATATTTAAATAATAATAGATATGTATGATAATCAAGTAACCATAGCAAATAAGGTTATGAGTATGAAATATTTCACGTGCAATTTTCACTTTGAAATAATATTTCATTGAAATATTGAAAAATATAATATTTTAATTTTTTGAATAGCCAAATTTTTTTATAGGCATTTCAAAAACAAAAATTATAAAAATCGAAAATTTCAACTCTTTATATAGCTTTAAAAAAATCAAAATATTTTGAAAATTTAAACGTAAATAGATAACTCTATATAAACATTTGGTGAAAATTTCAAGTATTTACAATGATTGGTTTTTGAGTTCAGCAAAATAAAAAAATTAAATCTGTCGAAAATTGATTAAGCGTAAAAATTCCCGTTTTTTCSTAACTTTTTAAGGGTTTTTCCTGAATTTTGAAAACTACTGGAGCTTTTGACCCCCCAAAGTACCAACTAGATGCATTTTACTTTTAAATGAGGGGCTGAAGTAAAAAATCAAAGCATTATTTCTACTTAAAAACKCGTGATCACAGACACAAAAAAAAACATAATTGTAAATTCAATACATTCCTCACTTCGTTCAGAATCTAAAATAAATGACAAACTTAAAATTTTTTTTTTAAATTAAACCAAGAATTTAGCGTCAAATTTTTAAATTAATGGGAATTTTTTTATTTATAATTGTTATTTAATTGATGCAAAAAAACACGATCTTTTTACAAGGCATATTAATATTTGCTGTCATTTAAAAATAATGTTTCAATTCCAACTACCTACATAAAAATATTAATTTTTGAAAGATATTGAATTGTACAATTTAATTTAAATTATCATTATCATGTAAAAACAAGCCAATAGTCACGTTACCGAGACTTTTTCCTTAATAAAAAAAAAAAATAATATTAAAAAAAAAAAATTAATGTGTTAGAGTAAACGTTTTACCATTTTTTTATTTACTACTAGTACTTTCCATTCAGGGCGGAGCAATATTTTACTATAAACTCTACGGGGAAATAAAAAGGGAGAGGTTTATATTTAAAGGAGAYCCAAGTCAATATGAAATCAATTGCAAAGATTTGATTTCGCTGTAAACATAAAAGCGATACTATAAAAGTTTAATTTTTACTATCTGTAGTGGCCTAGAATATTACGTTTTTATTTTAATTTTAAAATATTTAAAAAAGTAGCATAATTTTCTAAGAAAATATAAAAATGTTCGTAAAAGAAGGATTATTCTGTTTCGTTTTATTCACATGTTTATTGATGACCCAAAGTCGCCCTCAAGRGGACTCCATGACTAAAACTTCAGAAAAACTAGAACCAGTAAGTACCTAATTAGTAATTACTAAATCGATAAATCTTTTTATTTTTAATTCAACCAGTCAACATTTCATATTCTAAATACTCTCAAATATAATAAACAACAATAATTTAACAAAAATATAAAATAAAATACAAATTTTTCATTAAAATATTATTTGAAATTGAAAAAAACATAAAAGATCACAAATAAGTATATAAATGTGTAAAACTATATACAGAATACCGGTAACCACCGTGGAAGGTATTTTAAATTTAAAACCAATGATAAATCCTTACATTTTAAAAAATAATTCAGAGTGAAATTATAAGGTCATATATAAAAATAAATTAAGATTTTATTAACAGCCGAGTGTTTATATCTCCTCGTCATATTTATACAATTTTCAAAAGTCTCTGCCCAAAATTAATCTGTCCAACCAAGAAACTAAACACAGATTAAAAAAATCTTTAGTACATACTGTTTGAAAATATTTAAGCTATTCTATTGTATATATTATGTTATTGATAGTTCTACCTTCTACATACATTCTCAGAAGCTTCAATATATTATACCATTTATACCTATACGTTTTAATCTTCAGATAAGTTTAAAACAAWAATTACGTAATATCAGCTTTGAATATTATTAATCAATTTTAAAACATAAAAATAATAGAATTTTAACATACATATTTATATTTATTTTTTATGAAACAGGTTAAATTATTATATTTAATTTTTATACAGTTACTAAATTAAAAAAAAATATATAAATCGTAATTATTAGTTTATTATATTTTACTTAATAATGAATATATTTAAACAAATATATATCAGTTACCATAATTTTATTTTTATACCTCACTTTTTTATGTCTCCTAATCTTATAAAGCTATAACAAATATTACATTAATTTACAACATTTTATTTATTAAATTATTACGTATCATATAACAATATACAATTATAGTAGGTATAGTTACATTTTAAAATAGGCAAGATAATTTTACTTTAACAATAATAATATTATACTATTTATAAAAGGCCAAATTTTAATTTCGAATCAATACTCCAATATGTACCAATATACCTAATATAAAATAGAACTTATTAGTTTATCATTGGAAGTTTAAAATTGTTTTAATTAGTAAATTAAAATATCCTACAACATATTTGGAYTGCATTATTTTAATATAAAATTAAGACATTTCAACATAAAATCCTATTTTTACACATAGGTACATACTTTGACATGTCTTAAGCAAATATTATGTACCTACATTACAACACTATATTTATACTACTAATAAATATACTTTTTTATACATATTTGCTCAACTTACGAGTTACATGCATCTATTTTTAGTCCTTAGCTTATGTACATTATACATATTACATACATTGAACATTATTCGGAGAAGAGAATTACCCAAGTGATCTTTTCTCTTTTGTAGTAACTTCAAATTGAGTATTTCTATTAGCGTGCAATAGGCCAATAGAAATTACTTATTAAACATATTAAGCTACGATTTAAAACATCTTATTCTTGTTTTTATGTAATAAAAATAAATAAAACTTTAAATTTACTTGACATGATGAAAATCTGTTAATAATACAATATGTAATAGATAACTAATAATAGATTTATAGTAAAAAGTAAGAAAGTGAAAAGGCTTAAATCTTTAAAAATATTAGAACTGCAAAAACTAAGTTTCATTGTGAATTGTGAGAAAATGAAAGTATAGAAGAAAAGTTAACATTAACAACTTTTAATAGTGACCTAATATTTTGATCTATCACAACTCTTTCTTATATTTTCAAATATTTAATTATTTCAAGTACGAATACCAATACAAAGTGGAAGATAAGCCAAGTGGAAATTACTACGGACAAAACGAAATTGGTAAAGAAACAGGCCGCATAGAAGGATCATACTTTGTATATCTTCCGGATGGTAGACTCATGACGGTAACATACTACGTTGATGGAGAAAGTGGTTTTGTACCCAAAATCACCTTCCAAGATAACGCTAGCCCATTTGGCAATACTGAATCAAATTCTATTCAGAGAAGATGAAAAATTATTTATATAGTTTKTTTACTTTTGATTAAATATTTTCCATTTAAAAAATGTAAGCTATCGAATAAATGTACAAATATCATTGGAACAACTATATTAGCTAAAATAATTTATACATTATACAGTATTAAATATTGTTGGTACCTGTTGTATGTAAACATAATGTAATCGAAAAAAAGATATTTTTATTTTTTTGTACTTAATATAAGCTTCAAAATTAATTTTAAAACTACAGATTCTTCTTAATGTACACAATTGAAAATCAATCCGTCATTAATAAGAATTTTACGTAGGCATATAGCAATGTATGTAACGTATGAGACCGCGTCAATGCCACATACCTGTATATACATTTATATATAATTTTGAATATATTTTAATTAATAAGGTTTTAATAAACAGGTATTAKTATGTACAATGCTATTTTAAATTGTTAAATTTGTATTTCGATTATTCTTTTTAAAGCATATGATTTTGAAAATGGTATAAAATTAATAAATGCTAAAACAGCTGTTATAATATGTAATATAAATATGTTTGCGTTGTTTCGCTGTTTTTGCATGTACGAGATACAACGTACAACCTTAATAAACTACAAATAATTCTATATATGTTTACAACCACTCCTAAAATGGATTTTAAATCTTGTGTATTGATTTTACAGTTATGTGTTTCTTTTGTGTGTCCATGTACACGATAAGTTGTCGAAATAATGCTTCAATTTTCAACTTCAGTAGCTTTTCCGATTGGAAAGTGAATCAAGTTAATGCATTGAGGAGGTTAAATTTTGAAATCCCCCCCCCCTGTAGTTTTAAGAAGCACCAGGAAAAGCATAAAAAAATTGAGAAAAAATAGGAATTTTTACGCAAAATCAATTTTTGAGAAAATCGATTTTAGACATTGGTGTAACTCTAAAACAAATTACCAAAGGCACATGCAATTTTCACYGAATGTTTATACTGACAATTTCTATACTTGGTAAAATGTTCATAATATTTAAACAACTTTTAAGTTATTTATAAACATTTAAAATTGTTCATTTTTTTAGTTTTTATTCTATAAATGTCGATAAAATTTTGTTCATTGGGTCAAAAAACTGAAAATGTATTAAAAGGTTCTCCATACGTTTATATGATAGCAGTTGGAAAATTATAAAAATATATAGGCACGTTTTTTTTTTTTTATAACCATTTAAAGTTCAAATTTTGACAAAATGTATTTAATAGAAAATATACAAATTCTTTAGTTGTCAAAAATGTATTAAACGTTTAAATTGTATAGCTAAGGATTGAAAATTTAAAACAAGATTCCAGTTAAGTAGTTAATTATGCTACAAAATAATCTAAAAACTATACCAACGCAGTTTCTGTTTATAGTTATTATAAGTTCAAATTTGGATGAAATTAAATATTAAATAATCAAGAATAACAATTTTAGTTATATTGTTATAATTTTAAAATATTATTTGTAAGTACTTAAATTTCTAGACTTCTAGAGAATACTTTATATTCAAATATTAATAATGAATGTCATTATAATGTCTTATATTAATACTTTATAATAAATTGTATATACCTTCTATGAATGACTGAGTGAGTCGGGCATATAATGAACCTGATTTGATTAATTTGGAATTTATGTTATAGATACCTACATTTTTTTTTTTTTTTTTTAAATAACAATATTAAAAATCATAAAAATCCTCTAATAAAAGGCTTACATATCCCGTCACTTCCTGGAAATCCCCATCGCAGGTGGACCTAACATTCAGGCGTCAGACTAAAAAGGAAATGGTGTAGGGATCATCTAACTTAATCCTAATAAGTTGTAAGTGATCACATAATAAACAAGGTAGTTCTACTGATGGGTGGTTTCTTATTCACGTAACCCCATAAAGTTTTATTACTCTAATCTCACTACATAGTCACATATACTTATTGTGCTTAATTGTATTTTGTATAGATTGTATATTTCTAATAAAAAAATTAAAATAATAATAATAAATAACAATATAATTAATATAGTATAATATACCTATCCTAAACTGACAAACCGACTCCACTCAGAATCGTTTTTCGTATACAATGATATCATATCATTGAATTCAAATTGAATACCTTCCATTACAGTAACCCACTTGTAACCTACTATACAGCAGAACGATATCCACTAACCCTCTCTTTTTTTATATCATTTACGCCAAAAAGAAATTTTTACAAGGTGCTTATAAAAATTAAAAATAAATTTTAAAATAATACCTAAGTGTAACAGATATGGTTAGAAACGTTAATTAAATAAAATATATAAATATAGTAGGAACTAAATTAAACTTCAATATATTATATGTACGATTTGCTAAACGAAACATTCTATGAAGATGATTATTATGTCCATGTCCCGTGAGCAGTTGTGTGGGTAGGTACAACAAATAGCTGGTGAATTCTAAAGTTATAGGAAGGCATACAGTAGAAAGTCTAGGAAATCTGGTAAATGCAATTATCTATAAAATCGTTAAAAAAGGAAAAAATGAAGTTGGAATAGGCATCAAGGCGCCGAGAAAAAAAATGCTGAGAGCTTTACGTATAAGGTAATATAGTGGTGAAGATCAATCTTGAGAATAAGAAACCGGGCAGTATTTGTTTTGGACACGCTCTACTCGTATAATATTAATTAGTCATTCACATTATTTGGTTGCCAAACTACTCTTGTTATTTATAATGGATCGCACTAAGACAAAATAGAGGATATGAACGCAGGTATATCAAAGGTTGACGTTTTATAAAATATAATATAATATTCTCATAATAATTATATTTGTATATAATATATAAGCCATAAGGTGATCCATTTGTATATATACAACTAGGTAAGTATATATTATTCATATTTAATTTTTTTTTTAATTATGTAAAAAATGTTTATCGACTTAGATTAAATGTAATAAATTATTAATCAAATTATATTACATTTTAAGTAATTCCGATAATAATACAAATTAATATACTATAATATTTTASTATTATGGTACTTACTTATAAACTATTTTATCATACCTTCATTGATGCTTTCGTCATAATAATAGCAGTAGCTGCACTATCAAATTGAGGTCTTCCAGCTCTTCCAACCATTTGTAATATTTGACATTCATTGTATTCTTTATAGCCATTAAACGAATAATATTCAGTAGATTTTATAATAACTAAATGTGCTGGTAAATTAACTCCCATTGCTACATTACAATAAACTCAATATTAATTTATAATTTTTCTATTATTATTCTTTGGTAAATTTATGTGTATCAATACCTAAAGTACTAGTAGCGATAAGTATGTTTAAGTATCCATTACGAAACAAGTTTTCTACAACATTTTTTTCTTTAATAGACATGCCAGCATGATGAAAGCCAATGCCGAATTTTAACATTTCTATAAAATATATACAATCCAGGTAAACAATAATACTTTATATTATACATATATATACTTTTTTTAATGTTGAACACAGGTTTAGTAAACCTGCATTAACTTCTAAAGTCTAATGAATGCGATCCCAATAAACTTTTCTTAATAAATTTAATACTTAATACTTTTCTTATTTTTTTTTTTTAAGTTACATTTATCATAAKTGGTATTCCATTTCGAAACATATAACATAATAAGTATCTTATACATTGGGTGTTTGGATTATAATATATTATAGATTTTACGTAAATATTACATTGGACATATAATAAAAACTAGATTAACTATATAGATTTTACTATATAGTTAATCTAGTTTTTATTATATGTCCAATGTAATATTTACGTAAAATCTATAATATATTATAATCCAAACACCCAATGTATAAGATACTTAACTATTAGTATAAATATCAAAAAAAAAACCTATCTATCTAAAGACTAAAAGAAAATAAGTGTAATGAATTTAAATTATTTTTTATTCTAAAACACATTGTTTAAGTAAAGCTGCAAATGCCTAATTTATAAATTATATTTTTAGTACCTTTAATTTTGTTATTTTTAATTTCCTTTGAAAATTCGTTGATATAACGTTGTTTGTCGTTAGGCAATGGAATTTTTATGTCTTTCACTAAAATATTACAAGTAAATTCTACGCTTTTCCTTGTAGAACAAAATATCTATAATAAGTTTTWAAAATTAAAATTGAACCTAAAAATAAAGTTCATATTCGATTTATATGGTTAGTATTTCCTTACTAAGGTCGGTCGCCCATTTGAATACTGTCTTATTAAAGGTTTAAGTTTATAAGTAAGATCAAAGTCAAATTTAAAACTACTTGTCTTATAGTTATAGCCTAATACAATTTTTCGTAATTTCACAGGTCTTTCGTCTTCAGTACTTCTGTAAGATATTGAGCATGAATATTAAATATTTAATACAATTATGTTATAAAAAGAATATACAATACTAAAAAAAAATGCAAAAATATTTTTTTAAATAATTCATATTTTAAAATTCACTTTAAGTAATGGGCAGGATAATTTTGATCGTTAGTTAACCATTTTCCAATATCTTCGATATTCGTCACTGTAGCAGATACAGCAACAAAACGTAATGTAAAATCATCCATTTTTGACTGTTGAAAAGCAAAATAGAAATACAATTTTGTTTTTTTCTATACACATGTCTTTATACAGTATAACGTATCATAAAAATGTATTTACATTTTTCGGAATTAGTTTTGTGCGACTGACAATAGTTTCTAATGTAGCACCACGAATCCCATCGTTAATTAAATGAACCTTTGAAATGAATGGAATTTAATATAAAATTTGATAAAATGATTCGAAAATGACCTACCTCATCGATCAAAAAAAGTTTAACCAAGTACAATTGATGCTTAAATCCTTTACATTTTTTTGTCAATAAATCCCATTTTTCCGGAGTAGTTATTATCAACTGATGATTGGTAATTAAAGATACATAATCGGCAACTTCTGAATCCCCAGTTATTTCAATACATTTAAGTCCGTGTACAGTAAATTTTTTTTTCCAATCTTCATAACGTTCGGAACACAATGTTTTTATTGGAGCCACTAACCACAAATAAGTAATAATCTACTATAATTTACAAATACCAGCCTATTTTATATTTAAATAGTAATTATATTACATAATTTATAATCACATATCACCCATACAAACTACACAAGCAAATATACAATTTATAAAATATTATATTGACTTTGATACATATTAAAAAATGTTTTGATTTACCTATTTTATTTTTATATTATAAAATAGGTTAAGTATAAACTTGTATAAAATAAAAACATTATGCACATTTACCGTAAATTATTTTAAAATTTTGTAAATTATTAGAAAACTTGTCAAGCGTTTCTAAAAAATGTATAATAGCTAGTTCAAAAATAACTGTTTTTCCGGATCCAGTTGGTGAAGAAACGACGACTGATTTATCTTGAATATAAACAAAAATATAATTGATATTAATCATATTATGTATCATACTYACAACTTTATATGAAATATTATAATCACGATAAACCTATCTATCTTTATATATTTTGTTTAGGTACATATTTATTGTTAAAATAAGTAATTACAACCAAATTTCTCCAACTTCA